GGGCATCTGCTTTTTCTATCATATACACAGGTGGGGGCCTACCTGTTTAGTTTCTCTTAATTTTAGTTTTAGTAGAGGTTTTACGGTGCTCGCAACTGCATAAGGTCATATGAGCGCCAGAAGATTAGAGGTGTTACAAGAGAGTAAGGACCATAAAAAAGAAAAAGGGGAGATTAGGACGATAGATGTTTGATAGGAAAGAAGAAGCAAACCACACCAGAACACCCGCCAACCACCCACTTAGTTTCTTGGTTAGCCTGTACAGCTTCTCCTGTAGTGTTAATGTATAAGGTTTTCCTCATTTGATGTCTCAGGGCTCTGTGTGTCCTGCACACAAGCGGATAGTTACAGAACGTTAGGAGAATGCCATTGGCCAATATTTATAGTAACAGCTGTCTTGTTTGACCTATTCTTTAACATGCATAATATAATGAGCGTTTATCGTAACACTTTACTAAAATGAAAAGCTTTCTTTTTTTACTCCACATTTTTTTTTTAGATCAGACAGAGAGACAGTAGGTCTGCAACTTCTTTTGTCTTTTGCCAGAATGAAGAACACTATTTTATGACACAAACAAGATGGCTGTTACTATAAATATTGGCCTATGGCGTTCTCCTAACATTCTCTAACTATCCGCTTGTGTCCTACACTGCTGAAGCATGCGTTCCTTCGTTTGGTTTGCTTCTCCACACTGGCGTTTTGATGATTGTACAAGTTTAAATTATAATCTTCACACGTGTCTAGTGTGTTGTGTTCGTGTTCTGAAAACTTTCACTTGTTGTTGGGTAGGATAGCTCACGGTAGTTATCTGGTATCTGTGGTGCTCTGAATCATTTTTTTAATGAGAGTTTTGCAAAGATGATGAAGATGATAAAGAAGTAATGCTGTGTGGAACATGAGAATGTCTGTACCAGAAAGGAAACATTACTGTCCAGGGTCATAAAAAAGAGTCAAGTACCTTGGATAGCATATAGTTTCTTTCTTAGTCCAAACATTTGCATGTTCCATTCTATGTGGAACACTTGCCTTTTTCTGTGTGTGTGTGTGTGTGTGTGCTAAATTTAGACCATTGGGTGGTTTGCAGGTGCTCTGGTGTGGTCTGCTCCTTCTTTCCTATCAAACATCTATCGTCCTTATCTCTCCTCCTTTTTTGTGTACGTTACTCTCTTGTAACACCTCTAATCTTCGGCACTTATATGACCTTATTGTGTTGCAAGTACCGTAAAACTCTTACTAAAAAAAGACAATTTTTCTTCCCCCAGCTCCTCCAATCACAGATCCGGCTGCTTGTGGCGGCCATGATGAGCAAGAGCACCATGTTGGATGAGCCGGCCCGCACCCCGACCTGTATGGGGGAGACGGAACCCACAGAGGTGGAGGATCTGCTGTGTATTGTAAGTGGGAACTGGGACATATGTGAGGCATCCTGGTGATATCAGGCTCTCGTCAAAATAAGGAAATCAAAGAAAGCAGCATTTTTTTGGCAGATGGGCAATTTTTTTCTAATGTATTTTTTGGTCGCTCAGCACCTTTTATGTCCATTTAAAAACACATTTTTGTGTTGATTTGACTGAAAAACATTTGAGTAAAGGCACAGAAAATGTAAATTTTCAGTTTCCAATGACTCTCAGGCTATGGAAGTTACCAAACTTTGTATTCCTTCCCTCCTTCCCCAACAGCCCAAACCAGAGTACCTCCCCGGCATCAAAAACCCGTGCTGGTTCAGCAGCACCACCGCCGAGCCCAGTCCACAGGCTGAGGACCTCAAGCTGAGACAACGGCTGCGCTGTCTGCCCTACTTCCACCTGCTCGGGGTCGGCAAGTCTGGCACTACCGACCTGTGGAACCGCCTCATGTGGCACCCGCACATCGTCTCCAATCACGGAGTCTTACACAAGGAGGCCCTCTGGTGGGCCTGGAGACGATATGGTGACTATCTTCTCTTTCATTAACTAATTCAGTGTGGGTCGTTGGTGGATGGTCTTGTGTGGTTTACTTCTTCTTTCCTGTCAAATATCTATCGTTCTTTTCTCTCTTCCCTTCTTTTCTTTGTATATATGTTACTCTCTGGTAACATTTCTAATCTTCCGCACTTATATTACCTATTTGTGTTGCAAATGCTGTAAAACTGTTTCTAAAATAATTAAAACTTAGCAAACTCAGTACTGTCCTTCATAATTTTGGAAAGACCTGACCAATGTGATCACTGAGTAGGATTTCCATTGGTAGACAGTTTATTTAACAATTAGAGGGGGGGGGGGACCTGAATAAAGATTGGTTTAACAATATTTGTTTTTGTTTTGAGGTTGCTTTCCTAAGCAGACCCATTGGCACGTAAACATAAGAAAACTTCCCTATATAGGCCTCATGGGGCTGGAATTCACCATTGTAGCTCTGGGCACCGAATGAGTTCATTCCCTACTGCATTGTGGTGATGTGATTTGATTATTTACTTAATTTTCTGCAGGCTTCACTGGTTACCGGAGGTCAAAAGTTCAGGACTTTAATACTTATGTCGACATATTCAACAACACAGCCAGACAAGTTCAGAGGTCATTGGAACAAGACACCCACTACCATAAGCTGCTCATCACAGGTTTGTTCTATAACCATGTATCTGCCAAATTAGATCAGAGCTGTTTTTGTCGGAAATCATGTTATTCACAATCAGGATGACAGTTGGTGATACCATCATAAGATAAGATAAAATAAGACAGGATAATACTTTATTATGCCAGAGGGGAATTTTTCTTGGCTGTACAGGACCGTAAAAACACATGCAGGCATACATAAAAAATATAAATTATATATCAGTCTCATCAAAATTCAATATGAAAAGAGAAGTAAAGTTGACAAAATGTACATTCACATCAGATGCATCATTTAATCACATGCAGGAATTTAAGTACAAGACCTTTGGAGTTAAAATAAATACATACTCTAAAGAGCAACACACATCTATGCTCATTCTGACAAAAGCCTTATGCTAGATGGTAAAAAATGTCTTTTATATCTTTCTTTCTTTGTTTTTGGAGGTACATATCTGCCGCTGCGTGATCTTACAATTTGCGTGGAAAGGGGGTGTGATGGGTCGTTTATAATGCTGTTTATCTTTTTTTATACGTGTGGTGTTATAAAAGTAAAATGAACAGTGTACATTAAATTTTTAGTGATTCTGGAACAAAATCATCATGCTCATTCATGCCTTTCACCCCTGGCAGGGTACAGGCCACATACAAGCTCCTTCCATTTATCTCTGTCCTGGGCCATCCTTCCAAGCTCGTTCCAAGTGAGCTTCATCTCTCTCATGTCCCTTTCCACTCATCTCCTCCATGTTTCCCGTAGCCTACCCCTGCCTCATGCTCCCTGTGGGTTCCACTGCAATGACTGTCTTGTGATATTTCTGAGAACAAAATAGGAAAGAAATTAAATCCCCCCCCCCATAATTCTGGTATTGTACTTCAAGCCTTTCATCATTTTTGCATGTTTTGTTTCATGTATATTATACAGATATTCTTGCTGAATAGTTGTTTTTCTCAAATGTTTCTGTTTTGATCTTTTTTCCTGTGTCTCTGTCATGCTACTTTTTTCTGAAAATTACACATCCTGATTCCTCATGGTTATAAATCTGTTATTAGATACATATGTATTTGCATTTCACAAAGTGAGCTTATCTCACTAGGCCTGTCCCAAACCATCCCAACTCTGTGTGTTAAGTAGGTCAGCCCAGACGTTGATCTTCTTATTTCGTATGGCCGCAGGAGACGGCAGCCCTCCCGACTTCTGGGACTTCCGGGGCTGGCGCAACATCAGCCAGAACCGAGGCCTGGCCAACCCTCAGGTGATCACGCCGCACCTCATGAAACATTTCTACGACAAGCCAAAGTTCATCCTCCTCTTTAAAGACCCTGTAGACAGGTAGGTGGAAAAATGCCCATGTTACTATATCTCTGTCAAGTTTCTGGGGAGCCCTTGGTTTTCTAAACTTTACTCCAGCTAAAAAATGTCGAGCAATTTCATATATCGGTTGGTATTAGATGGGTGACTCTAGAAGTTTAACACTTTGCAGTCACAGAGCCAGCAGTACAAAACACCCCATCTGGTCAGTGAGCCAGGAGAGCGACTGCAACGGACTTCTCGGGTTGCGCCAGGTGACTAGAACGGATAATATTCACCATATTGCGCCACGTGACTGCAAAGTGTTTAAGAAATTTTTTTTATGGAGCTCACAACTGCATAAGGTCAGAAGTGTGTTAATGAGCAAGATTATTTATTCTCAAAAGACATGACACAGCTTTGTGGCATTCAACTTTGGTGTGTATATATGAGAATCTGTTGGTGTGTAGTTCCCTCTGTGTGAATGATATGATTTTGTGTCTTCAGTGGGCTTCTTTCTGTAACCATGTAATGTCTTTCTCAGTGACAAGACAAAGAAACTTAATGGGGAGTTGGCAGGTGTAGTTTAAACCCCCAGGGCGGTGCCACTGACTGAAGTGTGTTTAGGCCATTCCCAAAGGGGGACATTAACTTGTTCTTATTCACAATAGAATTGTGAATGGGCAAATTCAACAATGTCATGCTTATAACTGTGCCTGAACTGCAACTGGGAACTGCCTCTTTTTCTTTCCTAATCCTTACTATGGTAATTTTTCCTCTACTTCTTTTGTATGTTTGTCTCACTCTTGTGACCCGCTATTTCCAGGGTGCCTTGATAGTCGAAGCAGACTTTGTGCTGCTGAAGCTAGAGAGGTGAGCAGAGTAAGCTTGATTCCCTGTAAGGACTTCTCTGTTGACATCCACACCCCTTGGTGCTCATATGACCAAATGCAGGTGCGAGCGCTGTAAAAGCTCTACTAAAACAAAACAAAAAACAACTTCTGTAACCATGTAGATCTAGTGTCTTTCCCAATGACCAGACAAAGGAACTTAATGGGGAGTTGGCAGGTGTTCTGGTGTAGTTTTCTATTTCTTTCCTTATCGTCATATCTCTCCTCTGTCTGTTCTTTTTATGCTTCTTTCTTGTATCACCTCTAATCTTTGGCAAGTATGTTTTAGTTTTAGTAAGAGTTTTACGGCACTTGCAACACAATAAGGTCATATTAGTGCCGAAGAATAGATTATGTGTTACAAGAGAGTAACAAACACAAAAAAGAAGGAGCGGAGATAGGGACGACAGATGTTTGATAGGAAAGAAGAAACAAACCACACCAGAGCACCCGCCCACCACCCACTTTGGCAAGTATGCGACCTAATTATATTATTGCAATTGCTGTAAAACTTGTACTATAAAACTTCACGTGTGTATGGGTGTTGGGTGTTGGTTGACTTAATTTGCACCAAATATAGTCGAAATCGTCTTTGATGGCCATTCATTGTTGAGGAGAAAAATTATTGTCTTAAACAGTGGGTGGTTGGCGGGTGCTCTGGTTAGGTTTGCTTCTTCTTTCCTGTCAAACATCTCTGTCGTCCTCATCTCTCCTCCTTCTTTTTTGTTTGTTACTCTCTTGTAACGCCTCTAATCTTCTTGCGCTCATATGACCTTATGCAGTTGCGAGCGCCGTAAAACCTTTACTAAAACTAAAAACTAAAACCTCTTATCTTCGGCCCTTATATGACCTTATTGTGTTGCGAGCGCCGTAAAACATTTACTAAAACTAAAACTGTCTTAAACAGGTGGACGTTTTGGACAATGATGTCATTCTAATAATTTGGACATGTGGCCATCAGAGTTGGTTTGACGGTACATTTTTGGGTTGTTTTTTCCCCCCAGACTTTACTCTGACTATTTCTTTGTGGGCGGAGGACTCACCTCCTTAGACTTCCACAACGACATCCTGGCGACCATCGACATGCTGGCCAGCTGCGTCAAGATCCTCGGACTACAGCGCTGTTTTTACGACCCAAAACTTTACCAACGACTGCCTGTGAGTTGATTTGTTTTATGATGGTGGCTGATGCGCCTAATCCTGCCCATAAAATGGTGGCTGCAATGAGTACCAAGAAAAGACAGATGATATGCACTTGTTATATTAATGTTTAGATTTCTATTAAATTAGGAGCAGATAAATAATCATTTCAAATAATAGTGAATTCATGAGTTTTGTATTCTGGACTGTAATATGTTTTGTGCAATTGACAAGTTCTACATTCTCTTGCGCAACTTTGAGTCAAAAAATGACCATTATATTATACATATTAATAGTGGTAGGCCAATTTACAGGTCACATTTTGTTACATGTCTATCGCATTTTCTGACCAAATGCAATGTGACTCCTTGATTTGCCTATCATTTGCTGATTTATATAGATATGGTCACTTTCAAGCACAAGAGGGCTATCCCAAAAAATGCTGTTTTGAGAAAATCGAAGGTAAAGTTTTTGCCCCTTTTTCAGTTTCTTTAAAAGACAAGGAGAGTTTTTTCTATAACTAAACAAATATACACACCAATGAAACCAAACTTCTCCTTCAGGTTGGGCAATGCCTGCTTTTGGTGTAGGTCAAGATTTCTGGAAACCTCCGAAATCTGGGTTCGCCCGCCTGTCCTTGAAATAAAAGCGACCATATTGTGTGTGTTTTTGACAGGTACGTCTGCCATTTGCCTGCTACTCTGTCTTCATGCGGGAGTGGCTCCGAGTGTTCCCCAAAGAAAATTTTCTCTTCTTGAAAACGGAGGATTACGCTAAAAACCCACAGGAGACTCTCAAAGAAGTCATAAATTTTCTTGATCTGGGTAAGTTGTTGGTAAGCTTGATTCTGAAGACATTGCTTTTCTCTAAGCGAGTGGTTGCAGTCATTTTAGGGTGGCTGCTCATTCTGTTTCTATTTCCACATTGTTACTTTTTTTGTTCTGATCTATTTCCTGAAAAAATGTAGCTGCTAATTTGTTCATTTGTTGGCCTTTGTTATTTTTGTTGGGTTTTTTTTTTTTCTTCAGTAATTCATGATGCAAGAATGTGGTTAATGTCCCTAGGTTGCGATGTTATTTGTGTGTCCCCGCTTGTTGCGAAGTTATTTGTGTCCCTCCATTTGCAATGTTACTGCTGCAGCTTAAAATGTTCTTTGTTCTACTTATTAGAAATCTAATTAGGTAAGTACTCTCATTTAATTAGGTAAGTACTCTCATTTAAATAGATAAATACTCTCATTTAATTAGGTAAGTACTCTCATTTAATTAGGTAAGTACTCTCATTTAATTAGGTAAGTACTCTCATTTAATTAGGTAAGTACTCTCATTTAATTAGGTAAGTCCTCTCATTTAATTAGGTAAGTCCTCTCATTTAATTACGTAAGTACTCTCATTTAATTACGTAAGTACTCTCACTTGTAATGCTGGGAGCTGGAAGAGGGCACCACCGGTAGATCCTATTTCATTTCTTTCTCTCTTTTGTTTCTGTCTGTCTTACTCTTTCCTTGCGGGCAGTGACTGTAATCGTGTTGATGTGCATTTCATTACTCAAACAGATTTATTCCAAATCTTTCCTCAGCTGCATTTTTCTCATTCTGTCGCTTGTGCTTCTTTTTTTTTCTTTCCTTCAGTCTCTCAAGTTGTCTTTCTGTATGTAAATTGTGGTTGTGGGTGGTTGGCGGGTGCTCTAATGTTGTTTGCTTCTTCTTTCCTATCAAAATCTATCGTCCTTATCTCCCCTCCTTCTTTATTGTGTTTGTTACTCTCTTGTAACACCTCTAATATTCTAGCGCTCATATAACCTTATGCAGTTGCGAGCGCCGTAAAACCTCTACTAAAAATAATTAAATTTAAAAAATAATTGTGGTTTCGTTGATGTGATTTTCTTCTTTTTGTGCATAAAAGTATTAGCTCAATTCAGTTCCGAGTAAAATGTGATTGGTATCTTATCTACTCATCATGAATTGCAACTCAATATCTGTTTGTTAATTTATCTCTCTGCCTATTTATTCCTCTGCCTCTGCTCATTATTTACTGTTAATCTATCAGTATTTGCTGCTGTCTTCTTCGCATCATCCTTATACAGTAGTCTCCGCCTAAACGCAGGCCATACAAAAGCGTGCTCCGCTCAAACGGGATTTAAACTGTATTATTTAGACGTACAAACACACGGTCACTCCCCCGGAGCGCACGCTCCGATCCTCGAAACACGCCGACAGGTAAAGCTTGACAAAGGGAACTTTTCACTACAACCTACACAGCTTGCCTAAGACAAGCCTAGAAAACCGGATGGATGTTTGGTGAGACTGCCCCTCATGCTGAACAAAGAGAGTGATGGACAGCGTTTTCACAACCAACTTTCCACAGACACATAGGTCTAGGACTGGTTGGGGAAATGTTGGGGGGTTGGGGGACTGAAATGTTTTTTAATTGGTCACTGATATTCATGATCTTTGAGAGAAGATTTCTGACTGGTGTTTGGGTGACTGCATGTAACGTTTAATTAGAACTTAGACCTAGGCCTATGACAGGCAACACACGTAAATGCTGTAAAACTCTGGATATGCTTCTATAGGATTAAAGATTAGTCAAGTAAGCCTAATCAGCTGCACTCAAAGAACTTATAACGTACTTGTTCAGCGAATCACAAGAGAAATCTTTCTCTGAATGTAGATGTCTATGATTCTGATGTCGTTCATGAATTTACTGTCAAGGGTTGTCACTTTGAAAGCCACGTGGCTGGACCATTGTCTCTATGGCTATCACCAACAGTTTCCTCTTAGGCTATCTGTTTCCGACATTTTATGGTGCATGTCAATACATTGAGTCTGTTTTTCTGCGCCCCTCCCCCCACCCCCACCCATTTAACGCCTTCGTATTCTTAACCATAGTCGGGGAACCCTTCGCAAAACAGTCACATGTTGTCACATTATCGGCCAAAGTGACCCCCACCTCCAAAGGAGGTCGCTAGAATATCAAGGCAGTGAGTTGACTGCGTCCCTTCCTCCCTTTTCACAGGTTCATGTAAACGCACACTCAGTATAAACACACGTTAAGGAGCCCACCCGACTGTAATCCTTTTGTTGCTTGTCCATCCATCAATCTATGCAGTCTATTATCTGTTCTTCACTGAACCTATTTGTTAGATTTTATCCCTCTATTAACACTTTGCCATCATATTTTTCGGAAAATCCAAAGAAACTGAGCGGTAAACATTGCCAATCGGCGAGACGAAGTGGCAAAGTGTTAATCTATGCTTCTGTCTTATGGGTGGTTTGCTGGTTGTTTGGTGCAGTTTGATCCTTCTTTTATTTTGTATGTTACTTTCTAGTCACACTCAAATCTTCAGCACTTATAAGACCTATTTGTTTAAGCATCTGTCTTCTTTAAATATTGATCTACTTTCTTACAGCACCTTTAGACGAAAAAACCCTTCAGACGATTGCGGAAGAGGACCGCTCTCGGGTGACCGTTCAAAAACACGAAGCGGGCCCCATGATGGAGGAGACCAAGGTCATTCTGCGGCAGCTCCTGGGACCGTGCAGCGAGCAGCTCCGCAGCCTTTTACACATGGACAAGTTCCGTTGGGACGGATGACCTCACAAGTGTTTATCACTGAATCATATCTCTTTATTTTCCTGTCACATCACAGGAAATTTGTCTCAGCTTTACAAAATGGACAGGGTAGGGCCGAATGATGATGAAAGGGTGGGGGAATGGGAGGGGGGGGGCTGAGGATGAGCTGTAGAAATTGTAACACCGCTGGAAGGTGGGAGAACGTATCTCACAAAACAGTCTAAAAAATTAAGCTTGGCGACGAACTGTATTTCCGAAGGATTGATGGGACTTTGTAAGTTATAAACTAATAGACTGATGGTGCTCTCTAAGATGCTAAATGAATTCAGGAAGAAGTCATATTTTTATTTTGCCTGTATGCGTTTATTTAAGACACTTGGTAGATCTACATATATTTATATATATATATATATATATACCGTATACGATATATGAACCGTACTCCACACAAAGGCATCTTCTTATCATCATGAAGGAGTTTGCCTGCTTGTAATTGTCATGAGAAGAAAATACTCAACAGATAACGGTCAATGATGGTTAAGACGCTTCTATATCGTTTTAATCTCAAATTCAAACTCTCGAAGAAGTGCCTTGAAGTGTTTCTTCTGAGAGTATGATTTTTCATTGTAGAATTTGTCTGTAAGGTCTACAGACCCCTTAAGTATGGCCACGGGTTGAAAATGTGTACTTATGAGTGTGAAAGAGTAAAGCTAACTTTGAAAAAAGTTTTAGGAAATAGAGTTGTACAGCATTTGGCTACACAAATAGGTTATAAATGCTGAAGATTACTAGAAGGATTACTTGAGAGTAATAACATATAAAGTTTAAAAAAGGAGGGATAAGGACATTAGATGTCTGTGGCTTTACTGAAAATGTGGATTACTTTTTCAGTCTATTTGTTGTGCATTCCCATGAACCAACAATGTTTAAGGTGGTAGGATGCTTAACTCGCTTTCTCTTTATTTCTGAGAACCACAGAATAGCTAAAAAGTTACTACGCTTTGTTTTCACATGTTAGGTCGTACCATTATAAACACAAAGCTGTTAGGAAGAAGGAAAGTGATCCATACTTCAAAATAAGATCTTCAGGTTTTGTTTAAAATACATGTGGAAATTCTGGCACTAAAAAGGGTCTGTTTTATGGGGTAGCTTCTCTAGGGCATCAGTATCACTTATAGATCATATTTCATCATAGAAAGGCAAGCAAAGCTGATTGATAGTAGTTTAGTTGTGCTGTATAAAATTCAGCTAACAATCTAGTTCCCCCCTAAAAATCAGCCTTTTCTGTCTTGTTATGAATATGAACTGGTTCTTAGACAGAGACCACTGTACATTGCTCTTTTGAACACATGCACATAATATGTGTGTGTGAAATGACTCGCACATCCCTTCCTCTTTTCCCTTTTTTCTTACACGTGCCATCACTGAGTCTGAAAAGCAGATCTGAAAAAAAAATTGATTCCCCCCCCCCCCCCCCCTTTATTGAACGAGATCTGTTTTGTGTCGTCAGGGACACTTTCAGTCTTGTCTTGTTTGGCCAACAGACATGTCAGTTCGTCAGATCTGATGTCCGGAAATGTAATTCTTGTGGAACTTTTTGTATGAACAGGAAGGTGTATGTGTTTCCGGAGTATTACGTTCTACTGCCTATGCATGAGCCAGCTTTTTGTGTAGAGCGAGGCATTATGTTATTTGTGTGCGTGTGAGATTCCATGCAAGTACGAGCCAGTATGAACTGTTTATTTTAGCAGTTTTTGTATGATTACTTTTTTTTGCTGTTGCTTTTTATTTAAGGGTAGGCAATATTTCTGTTTTACAAAATACTCAAATCAAGTTTATGTGATAGGTGTATATTTTGTTTGTTTTTTTGTATTGCTGTACCCTCGTCTTTGGGAAATAATGGAATTTTGCTTTTGTAAACCTCTGACTCTGAGCCCATACTGGGCACTGTTAGTTTTAGTGTCAATAGTTAATAGGCCTGATTATCAACGGCTTTGGTCCTCTTGAGTATGATGATTCAGGAAAACCGTTCTAATGGCTGTCTTTATACAATAGTGATTGCAAAAAAGATATTACAATGATAAATACTACGCTTTTTGATTTTTAAAAGCTCAGCTAGGTAGGTGCCGTCTTATAACCTTTTGATGACCAGGACTGTTTTTATCTAAATGGGGATCTTTAAAATGACATCCACCCCTTTGGCGCTCATATGACCGTATGTAGTTGCGAGCTCTGTAACACCTCTACGCTCTACTAAAACTAAAACCTAGGGATCAGAAGCAGCCATTGAAGGGTTTCCCTGGGTCCCCACACATTTTTGATGGGCAGAGGAGCGATGTTTGTGCTTATCATTAGTTGTTGCTGTTGTGTATTGTGAGAGTGGATTTCCACCTACGCTGTGTGGATGAAAAAACCCCCACATTTTTCTCCTAAGCTCTTTGGCTTTGAAAACACGTCAACCATTTGTTTAGTGTTTAGGAAATGCTCTGCTTCCATTGTTCAAAGAAACTACAAGCTTTATGAATTGCCCATAGTTACCGGTAATAATTAATTGAAGTGATAATTTTTTTTTAAAATCTGTGTTACTACAGCCATTTACACTGTGAATTAAAAACTACAAAACTTACTAGAGTATGAATAGCTCCTTAAGTTGGAATTTCAGGGTCAGTACCAAGTCAAAGACATATTTATAATACCTCTTCAGCGTTTTTTTCTATTGGAGACTTTTTTGTTTGCCATCTTGATGTGGTAGAAATTCAAGTTGGATGTTTAAATGATGCGTACCAGGGTAAGTGTTCTTTTAAAAAGGGAAAATTTGTAATTACAGTTGGGCACAAATGACATGAACGCTCAAAACTCGAAGTCACGGTATAATGAATGTTTCAGTTTGTGTCTGTGTGCATGTGTATTTGTTTGTTTGAACGTTAGGGGCTGTTCACAAATGACGGCGGCTAAGATTTGGTGAAAAATGACACCCCCCCCACCCCCTTGTCATCTTCTGTCATCTTTCCCAGGACCCCTCAAGAGGGATGGGTGGCGTGCTCGGTCAAAGTGCACACACTATCTACCTTTCAAATACTTCTATCTTTCATATATGTAGTGGAAAAAAAAGATTTGGTATTTTTAATTCAATGTTTTCCATGTTTCTAAAAGATCAAATACGCCAGCAGTGGTTGTCAACCTGACAGAAAGCGAATGCACTTTTTACCAAATTTTACAACATGATAACGAACTGGTATTGTTTCATCAAATGGTTTCAGCAAGCATGTGTCATGTCTTTTCCTTTCTCTGGTCTGGTCCCATCCTGATGCTAAAAAAAGCAGAAGAAATTGCTAAAGAACTTGGTAACCCCCCGGGGCAGTGCCACTGACTGTAGTGTCTTTAGGCCATTTCCAAAAGGGGGACATTTCTCGTTCATGCACAGTAGAATTGTAAATGGGCTGATTCATCATGTCACGCTCATCATAACTGTGCCTGATCTGCAGCAGGGAACTGCTGCTTTTTCTTTCCTAATCCTTACTATTGTCATTTTCCTCTACTTCTTTTATATGTTTGTCACACTCTTGTGACCTGCTATTTCCGGGGTGCCTTGATAGTCGAAGCAGACTTTGTGCAGTTGAAGCTAGAGAGGTGAGCAGAGTAAGTCTGATTCCCTGTAAGGACTTCTCTGTTGACACCCATCCCTTGGCGCTCATATGACCTTATGCAGTTGCGAACGCCGTAAAACCCTCTACTAAATTTTTAAACAATAAAAAAATAAGAACTTGGTAGGCCGACTGACTTCACGCTCAACAGGTGTGTGGATAACTTCAAAACGAGACGAGGCACCGCTCCAAGCGCTGTGTGCATTGATTTTGTAACAACTTTGAATGTTACTTATAACTTTCTGTGATTTATTTTTCAGCCATTGTAACACAGTTACCTCCCTTGATTTTCTTCACCGTCATCTCTCTCATGTGTTGTTTTATGGTTTTAACCGAATAATGGATGTGTCAAACAAATTTGTCAGTCCCCATTGAGTTATATTATGCGTACCTGCTTGTGTAAGGAAAAAGCAGAGAATTATGCGCAAGTATGAAGTAGAAGTGACCTAGCCTACAAATGTACCATCACTGCATGTACCATCAATACAATTTGTCATCTTCTGGTAGACCCAGTAAGAATCTTTTTGCAATTTCATTAAATTCCACAGAACATTTGTACTTGAAGCGGGAAAACATGTGATCAAAACAAGATTTGTGGATGACAGAGATATCATTCACTACTCAAGGGGCATTATTAAAGTGACAATCGAGTTTAAATGTATGTCATGTACTTGATAAATTATGATAAATTATTTTTCCCAATGTTAGTTAGTTTTTCCCCCCTTTGGTCACCTTTTCTCAATTTTATCATCGATTTTGTCTTTATGTAGCATCAGATCAGTGTTTGTTTTATAGTGGCCAGGCTTTTACTACTCTTAGCCATAGCACGCAGGAGACCCTCGTTCAACTGGGGAGAATTTTTATTGAGTACCTTTTCTTGTTTTTTTTTCTAGGATATTGTATAATAAAATAATAATAATAGATAGATAGCATTTGTATAGCGCATATCCCCGCTCAACAGCAGGCTCTATGCGCTTTACACTATATTATTACCCCAGCAGACCATAGAACACTCCGAAACATTCTCAGCTTCCCGGGAAGCATACAGTGCAAGCAGTTATACATTAAGCACTCAAACACTAACAAACTGACTAGGTCTTTCTCTGTCTATAGCCGGGTACCCATTCCCACCTGGGTGAAGTGAGGAAAATTCGTGTAAAGTGCCTTTCCCAAGGACACAACGACGGGTCCCTGACGGGATTCGAACCCACGACCTTACGGTTGCGAGTCCGAGAGCCTAACCACTAGGCCACCGACGCCATTGTATCCTTCTCAGCCTGGGCTGGCACTGACAGTAGTGACAGGCAAAGTTGAAATGCTTTCTAAATGATCTCAACTATGTCGAGGGAAAAATCTTCTTTGGAAAGTGGTAGTGGTAGTTAGGCACAAATTAGATGAGGTTTAAAAAATAATGATTGTAAGGGAGAAGAAATCTGTTTAGAATACAAAACTAATACTAAGATTCTTTATATTATATGTGGGCAATATTACATTTTTTGTCTATAGAAATCTTTTTAATGACATTGACGAAGTAACTGTGCTGTGAGCCTGAGAGATCTCGTACTCATGGTACTAGTAATAGTAATTTATTGTAATTCTTTTTTGCTGTTTTCTGTATTCCGATTTGCTGTGGGATATTTGTGTAAGATACATAAAAGTGTATCAACATGGCAGTCACTGTTATATACTTTCCAAAAAAAATTGTTTGGATATATTGATGATGATGATAACCACACTGTTGAGAGAGAATGATGTATGCGTAGGATTAGCCTTCATGTTTGTTCCTTTCTTCATTTGGCGCCTACGCTAGGTCCTGTCAGGCTGTCTTAAGATGCAGGACACAACCTTTATTCCCATCTCCTGGCACAGAATGACCAAAACTGGGAAAGAAGTTGTCATCTGCTGAGTCCTTTACGTTTAACAAAGGTATGCCGAAATATCACAAAGAGGGGCTGCTCTTAAGTGGTGACATTGTAATGTATTATTATGTTAGTGTTTGTTGCCCTACTTCTATGTGATCAAAGCCTTAACGTAGTGAGAAGAATATGTGCCAAGTACCGTAACTTTTGTAATAGTTTTCATGGTACTAGTAGATAACATGACTGCATTCAGGAAAAAGATTAACATCGTTTCTAAACATGTATGCTGAATTATGACATGGCTGTTTGCAGCTTGTTACTGTTCCTGAGGCACTTTTCATCTATGTCCTTGGAACATGCAATTCAGTATGAAAAGTTTTATTGACCAGGTTGAAATAAAATTAGGAAGATTTATTAAATATAAATCTCTACCTTGGAACTCGGATTCAACGAGCTCGGATTCAACGAGATGAGATAGATTCCCCATTTTTTTTCTTCTTTAAAGTCAATATAAATAACCCGGATTCAACGAGCACTTAAATCAGCAAGCTCGGATTCAACGAGGTCGCTTCCAGGGTGAACAGCCCCTGAGGACGTGGCTTGGCTCATTTTTCTCCCAGAACGAACTTGATCTATTCCTGGAAACCATCCATTGCACCTGCATCGTAGGCCATTATTCACTTAGCTGATTGCATGTGACAAATCAGCGGCCTTTTTTGTACCAACACGTGCGTTTTTGGCATACGCACGGGTCTACTCTTGTGTGTGTCAGGGTCAGATGGGCGGCCTGCACACGTGTGACTGTGTGTGGGTGTCGGGGAAGGGGGGCGCACTAGCGGTCCGGGCGTTGAATGTTGCAGATACTAACCCGTCAGTCTTTTTTTCCCCTCAGCAACTGATCATTATTACAATGATTTAGCTAGTCTTGGCGTAGATCTACGTAATGAATTGTGCACTGGTCTATGGAATTCTAAAGTTGCCTTATTCTAGGCTCTACACAGCAACACAACTCTTTGGTAACAATCGGGAGGACAAAAGTGTGTGCTTTTGAATGAATCTGTCTCTTTTTTATTACACAGCTCATAATATGCAAGCATTTCAGGTTGTACTTGTGACTTCTCTTAATATATTACTTGCTCAGTGCCTGTAATTATCTACTCAAAACCTTGTGTTTGCTATAACGAACACTCGGATTCAACGAGATTTTAGGTCAGGCCCGGCGACCTCGTTGAATCCAAGTTCCACTGTAAACAAGTGAAATGTTAAAACAAGTATTCTGAAGAAATTATTGGACTGGAGTTAGGTGAGGGAAAAGTAGTGTTCAACAAATTCACCGGAGCTTGTCATAAGTGGACCCAGCTGGAATATCTTGACTCTCTGTCATTCATGCCCTTTATTCGTTTTGCATGTAGGCTATATATTATAAAAATATATTTCTGTACCTCATTACTGTCACTATTCTTATCTTTTATTTATGTTCTTCTCTACGCCTCAGTTATACTCCTGTGTATCCAAGCCATTTACATCTCAAGGAAAGTGCAATTTTGGACGGCATCTCCTGTTCATGCTGTTTTCACAAAGCTTTAACGCAAAATATATGTGTCACGTTGATTCTCATTGAAATTTTCATGTCGTCGAGTCTTTTCTGACTTGTAATTTTCGTCCATCTTGACATTTCTGCCACTTGATTTCTTTTACACATGTATATCTCTGGGCTTTAAACCACGGAAATTCTTTAGAAAGGAACTGTAAATTATTTCTCTCTGTATCAATTTCTTTATAATAATTTAGCAAAGTTTGAACATTTTTTTCATAATTTCTGATTATTTTCCTTTATTATTCTTTGTTAAAATTAACAGAATCGCATAATTTCACTTTTTTGGGCTCAGTTTGCATAATTTCAGAATTTTTCTTGCATAAAACGACGGGGACAGATATGGTGGCGTCTGCTTTAACCGAAATCTGCAGGACCCTTGAATTCTCTTCAATGAAGCTGGGTTTTAGATTTAGACAAGTTGTTCAAATAGAAGATAAAAAATCTGAGAATTTATTTCCTGCTGGTTTACAGCCGTTCTCAGGTTCAACAGTCCGTTGAAGCAGATTCCACTGTAGGCCTACTATATCTCTCAGTTTTGGTTATCAGTGGAGATTTTTCTTCATTGGTCTTGAGTCTTGTTGATGTTCCGTTGTACTGGCATAATAATAATATATATTTAACCCTCAGAAAATGTTTGTTTGTGCCATGAAAATTGGGCGTTACTTATACAAAAATTGAAGTGACTGATTTTAGACTACACATCTAGAATTTTACCATTCCCATTTATTTGTAACTTCAACCCATGTTAAAGGTGACCCACACTATGCTGTGAACCAACTTGAAGACAACCACTCTTATTCACTTATGCAGTTGCCGGCGCTGTAAAACTCTTACAAACTGAAAATTCGGCACATACATGATGCATCTATTACTATCAGAGCAGTGCAGAACTGCAAAACCTTTTCAGGCAATTGACGAGACAGAACAGTTTTGATTTCGACAACTTCAGCCTTGCTCAACTGGACTGATGACACAACATGACAGTAATGAAACACTGTGTTCTTCTGCTTGGGGGGGGGGGGGGGGGGGGGGGGCAACTGGTGACTTTACTTGCCCATGGAACTGCTTTCTCTCTATGATTATATTAATATTATAATAATAATATCTTGTTGATTTATTTACTGTCTACTACTAATAATCACTTTATTCACATTGCTTTGCTTATGCGGGGTCTCTACCAGTCTTATGAGTCTTATGGACTGGCTCTGAGTGACAGCTTGAGTCGCATATGTGGACAGATCTATACTGTGCCAATGATGCCAAACAACATTATATTTAATAATTTACGGTCAGTTCATCTCTACCTGGGACAAAGCATTGAAACAGGTATGTGTAGGTACAAGGTTGTCAACGCTCACCCACTTTTGATGAAGTTGTCATAAAGAGCGAATATTTGTAGTGAAGCAGTGAAATTCGCGTTGCTATCATACTATCTCAGGACTACCCCATATCTCACTGGCTATTGAGAATTTGAGAGCTTTATCTCATCTTACACTAAACCAAAACCAGCTTCACCTGATGTAATTTTGTTTGTTGTTGAATAATTTGATGTTATATCGTAAGGTGTCCCTGATTGGGTTTTGAAAAAGTTTGCATGCCTGCCTGCGATTGTTTTCTTTGGTCGATATTATAACGTCAATTTTTCATTAAGCTTTTCTCTGCATTGTCAAGGATGAAAGGTCACTGTTTATTTCAAACTTTCATTGTCAAGGATGAAAGGTCGCTGTTTAGTTCAAACTTTCATTGTCAAGGATGAAAGGTCGCTGTTTAGTTCATCAAACTTTCATTGTCAAGGATGAAAGGTCACTGTTTAGTTCAAACTTTCATTGTCAAGGATGAAAGGTCATTGTTTAGTTCAAACTTTCATTGTCAAGGATGAAAGGTCTTGTCAAGGATGAAAGGTCACTGTTTAGTTCAAACTTTCATTGTCAAGGATGAAAGGTCATTGTTTAGTTCAAACTTTCATTGTCAAGGATGAAAGGTCACTGTTTAGTTCAAACTTTCATTGTCAAGGATGAAAGGTCATTGTTTAGTTCAAACTTTCATTGTCAAGGATGAAAGGTCACTGTTTAGTTCAAACTTTCATTGTCAAGGATGAAAGGTCATTGTTTAGTTCAAACTTTCATTGTCAAGGATGAAAGGTCACTGTTTAGTTCAAACTTTCATTGTCAAGGATGAAAGGTCATTGTTTAGTTCAAACTTTCATTGTCAAGGATGAAAGGTCATTGTTTAGTTCAAACTTTCATTGTCAAGGATGAAAGGTCTTGTCAAGGATGAAAGGTCTTGTCAAGGATGAAAGGTCTTGTCAAGGATGAAAGGTCACTGTTTAGTTCAAACTTTCATTGTCAAGGATGAAAGGTCGCTGTTTAGTTCAAACTTTCATTGTCAAGGATGAAAGGTCACTGTTTAGTTCAAACTGTCATTGTCAAGGATGAAAGGTCTTGTCAAGGATGAAAGGTCACTGTTTAGTTCAAACTGTCATTGTCAAGGATGAAAGGTCACTGTTTAGTTCAAACTGTCATTGTCAAGGATGAAAGGTCACTGTTTAGTTCAAACTGTCATTGTCAAGGATGAAAGGTCACTGTTTAGTTCAAACTTTCATTGTCAAGGATGAAAGGTCACTGTTTAGTTCAAACTGTCATTGTCAAGGATGAAAGGTCTTGTCAAGGATGAAAGGTCACTGTTTAGTTCAAACTGTCATTGTCAAGGATGAAAGGTCACTGTTTAGTTCAAACTGTCATTGTCAAGGATGAAAGGTCACTGTTTAGTTCAAACTGTCATTGTCAAGGATGAAAGGTCACTGTTTAGTTCAAACTTTCATTGTCAAGGATGAAAGGTCACTGTTTAGTTCAAACTGTCATTAAGGCTCTACAAATACCTGCTGCTATGAGTGTAACAAGGCTTGGTATAGAATAAGACTACATACTTTAACTACACCATGGCATGTTCTTTATTCCCTTTCATTCAGTTTTGCATAATACTTTGCACTCACAGCTCTCAGCACAATAATGTTACATTTGGAACATAAAATGTGTATTTACATTTATAATATATATATATATATACCTGCACATACGTATAAATATGTATATATATATGTGCTCATTTTCACAAAGATATTATAATAATGTACATGCATGTGTGGAATTTTCAGTACTTTCATTTGTGCAAATGAGTATGAGTAAAAATGAAAAAAACCCACATTTTCTCAAGAGTGTTACTGACTTTTTAAAATTCATCCCATGCTGGTTGTCCATGTGGTTTTATTTAGTACAGTATAATCCGCTTATACTTTTATCGACATGCTTTGGGAAGTGGATTTGATGTCGATATATATAAAAATGTCGATAAGTAAAAATATAAGCCAAAGAGGAAGAAGGGGAGTGAGTGATTGGGAGTGGGGGTAGGGAGGTGATGCCCACAGCGCGAGACGCTCAGGTATGTGAGGCACTGTACTGTGTTGGAGACTATGTGACCTACCAAAGCCTGGTGTGTCGATATAGGCTACTTGGCAGGTATGTGGACTTAATGAAGAACTAATGCATTGATTGTTAGCGTGGCTTTTCCCATTTATGTTTGTGGGCTTTGACAGGTACCCAGGAAGCATGTCGATAAAGCAGAGTGGGCCCCCCCAAAAAGTCGATAAAATAGAAATTGTTTAGTAAAGATATTGAAGGAAAAATTTCGTAATTGAAAAATAATATGTCGATGTGTCAAAATGTTGATAAATCGAATGTTGATGTAAGTGGATTATGCTGTATTTAGCCATCGTACCCAATCCTGGAGGCGTGAGTTCAACTCTCCTAAGGGGAATTTTTTTTGTATTGAATATCTCCATCTATCTGGCTAGAATACCATATCTTGCTGAACCCTGACAACAGGCGCAGATGGTTGGCGGGTGCTCTGCTCCTTCTTTCCTCTATCAAACATCCACCATCCGTAGTATCTCTCCTTTTATTTTTGTGTTTGTTACTCTCTTGAAACACCTCTAATCTTCAGCACTTATAATACTTAAATGATCTAATTGTGATGCAAAAACACTTACTAAAACTAAAAGTAGACCATAGGTCAAAGCAGCACAACACCCCTAGGCCCTTCTAAAGGGTCAAAATCAGTGGTGGACAACCAGGGCAATATTGCCCACAAGATGGTGATTTGGTCACTTTGTGTGGGCAGTGGGGTTCACCCAGGTATGAACAGATGTTATTTATTAAATTTAATTCCCTGCTTGGTGGAGGGTGTGAAAATTTTAGCCTTTTTTAAAGTGATAAAAGTGGGCGCTGGCTATGAAAGATTGACAAGCACAGGCCTAAATTGTGTCAATGGAGGCATAAGACATTAGATATTACTTTTCTCCGATGCATTCTCTCCACCATCTTTATTTCCTTCTTCACTCTAAAAAAGCCTTCTATTACCACATGACCTACTTGGATGGGAGACTCAATAAATACAACTAAAAACCTCATGCTGAGATCGTATCTCCACAAAACAACGCCAGCGGGTTACCCAGATCCGTCCTGTCGAGCCTGCAAGGAGGAGGACGAGACTATGGACCATGTGTTCCTGAGATGTCCCACCAGCTATCGTGCCAGAACCCATCTGCTGGGACATTTCAGTGCCCCACGCTCAGACTTTTCAAGGACCCCCGAGTTCCTGCATGCTATCGGCATCGCTGACCATTTATGACGCCACAGCGCCAGAAGAGAGAGAGAGAGAGAGAGAGAGAGAGAGAGAGGGGGGGAGGGAGGGAGGGAGGGAGAGAGAGAGAGAGAGAGAGAGAAACCCCTGAAAGTGTTTTTAAAAAAAAAAGTCTGAAAAAAAGAAACAAATCTCCAGTACAAAGGCACTGAACAAGTCACCTGGCTGGTACGGTACCAAAATTTATTACGCAACAACATGTTTTTCAGTCTTTTCTAATGCAACAAAAATGATTTATTCACAAATCAAAGGCAAGTGGTTCAACTGTTCTAAGCCCTGAAAGCAAAATTTTCTGGAGAGAGAAAAATGTTTCACTCTTTAAAAACTATCCAAATAATATAATAACCTATCTTTTTCTTGCTTTTTACAACATTTAGATCTTGAATTTTGACATTACTTTAAGAAACTGCAAAAAAAAATAAATGTTTTCCTCAATTTTTGACTAAGTACATCCAAACAGCTGTCCGAGGATATGTGGAAAGTGAAAGATGTATTTGATAAAGAAACAATACCATGAGACAACAACCATGGAACAGAATCATATACATACATCTTTTTACAAGCATTAGCAAAAAAACATAATCCCAGAGGAGAACTGAGTAGCTAGTCATCTTTACAGTACAGTGTCAATTTAAATAATAAAATATTAACCCTTAGAGTTAAGAGTTAGAGCCCTAAAGAGATTTTACCGTCTGGGCCATAAAGGTCTTTGAGTCACAAATGCCCAATATATCGGTATCCCACTACTACCACAAACCTGTCGGCGAAACATGCGCCGCTCTAATATACCTCCCTACTGTTCTCAGTACAACGTTCCTGTCACCTAGCGCAGCCTGAGGAGTCTGTTGCAGTCACTCTCCTGGCTGGGTGGCCAGATGGGGTATTTTGTACAGTTGGCTGTGTGACTGCAAAGTGTTTTAAGCAAAATATGACCTTGACCCTTTCAATTATAATTAGTGACCAAGATGGTTTATTTCCCCATTGTGCCAGGCACGGGATTCTACCAATAAGGAAGTTACTACATCAACTTTTCCTCAATTCACCTCACAACAAATGGGCACTTGGAAAGTGGTAGGGTCAGATTTGTCAGAATGATTCAAACATTCCACCCTTGTTTGACAGCTACACTACCTTTTTCCTGATGGAACTGTGATGTTAAGTGGAACACATTGCAAGGTAAGACAGTTATTCTAGAAACTGTAAGCCTTTCCACACGAGGAAAACAAGACAATGAAATACAGTCAACTATGTTTGGAGGAGTTGATGTTGTCAGGGGGGAGTGGGAAAAAAAATCAACTCATCCGAAGTTTAACTTGACTGTTGGGACTTGCAAAGAAGTGGTACTGGGACCGGACCAAAAGATCAACTTAATAAGCAAAGATCAACTCAAGTGAGTCTAATACTAATAATAGTACAAGTAGAGTCGACTGTACATTGGAGGTCACTTAAACCAAAATCTACAGGACTGCAGGATTAATTTTGATTAACACTTTGCCCCCCACGGGACGCCCATCGGCGACGGCGTGATATAGCGGGTACCGCATCTGCATCCTGGTCCGTGGGGATGAGTGTTGCGCGTTGTGAGGGTGGAAAGTAGCAAAGAAAAAAATGGGGATTCTATTTTTCTTTCTTTGGGGCGGGTTACCAATGTTTTTGGATTAACCAAGTTCGGATTAAGCAGACTCCACTGTAATTCTTTTTCTTAAAATGCATACACAGGTAAAAGTAGAGTGGTAAAATTTACCACTAAACTTGCAAGTGATAATATCAGACAGCTGCCTTCAAAGTCTGGGAAAGGGGAAATAACCTCCCCCCCCATAATATTTGGACGATACAAAGTGGTGATACAACATCAGCAACAAGAATGAAATGTTTGCCCTTTTTGGGGGATAAAAGCCCAACTCTCTATATCTGTCTCCCTCTTCGCCCATTCTCAATGCCCCTATCTCTCAAATCAAACACACATAAACGCACTCCACATCCACTAAAATACATCCACAGAACATGGTCACACACTCAATTACTTTTCATTCTCATACATATGATGGGTACTCTCAGTCTAAAGAGTAAAAGACAACAGCAAAGTTTGATTCTTTACATTCTTACTGACATACATTGTTCCAATCGACGCGTACACATACTGATTCTCACAACTATCTGTCACATATACAATTGATACAATTGTTCACATCTCTCATAAAACTTTCTTTTTCGGTCATTCGTATTGTTCACATAGCAGATTCACCATACAATAAAAAACAAAAAAAATGTATATAAAAAAAAACCTACAACTGTAATCCTCAGGAATCTTTGTCTTCGATCTGTCTCAGCATTTTCAGGTAATCTTTTGCTTTGACTTTTCGAGGAACAATATCTGTAAAAAAAAAAAAAAAAGCACATTTTTAATTTCAAGATAATATTTACATATATGTCATACGAGAAAAGCCACAGCATAATTTGACATACCTAATGTCGAGTAGAAAAGAGGTAGTCCTAGACAAGTGGACGCGTCATGGACATTGTCTTTACAGAATAAAGAAAAAACACAAGAACTCTATGGAAAATGGGAAGACGTTATTGTCTGGAAGAGGTGGCTATTATTATAGCAGGTTCCGCTGTAAACAAATTAGGCAAAACCATTAATTAAATTTTTTTAAATACACACATGGCCACAACCATATTTCCTCCTTTTTTTTCACCCCACTATTGAAACCACATGACAGAGCAGTCATGGGATATGTCATAGGCTACAGCTTCTTCCAACTTCAAGACATAAATTACTGAAAAATTGGCAGAGCAGTTAGGCTGCCAGACTCGTAATCGTGAGGTTGCGGGTTCGGTGATTCGAGCCGCGGGCCCAACGTTGTGTCCATGGGAAAGATACTTTACACGAAATTTCCTCACTTCACCCAGGTGGGGATGGGTACCCGGCCATAGACAGCAAAAGATCTTGTCAGTATGTTAGTGTTTTAGCGCCTATAAACGGCTGCTTGCACTGTATGCTTCCCAGGAAGTTGAGATTGTTTCAGAAGGTAGTATAGATTGTGAAGCGCATAGAACCTGCTGTTGAGCGGGGATTTGCGCTATACAAATGCTATCTATTATCTATCTATTATTAAATAAATTATTGCTCTTGTACTGCAGGCAATCAAAACAGCTTTCAATACACCCCTCTAAAAAAACAACAACGGCTTTTAAGTCAAAAGAACATATTTTTATGGTCATGACACAATTGCACCAGTCATTTTTGTCAAGATATCTAGTAACTGGCATGGTAAAAAAACCTGCCACTTGTTTCAGACCCATAATTCTTTGAACCATGACCTCCTGAGGCTACCATGCCCCTCTGTCTGAGCTCCTGAGCGATATAATCAAATTACTGACCCCTTACAAGATTGTCAGAATCACTTTCCATATCCCACTCAGGGTTACCAGCATCTACTTAGAAAGATCTTCAAAACAATCAATAACATCCTGTCTAGTAAACGTTTTTCGTGCGCGTTTTGTGCCAGAGACATGCCCCGTTGGAGACAGGGTCTCGCTAACCGCTGTACCGGTGGCTAGGCATACGGGCAGGTTTACGCGCCACCCGTATCCCTGCGCAAGGATTTTGTTTCATGTACTAAAAAATCCAATTGTCGGGACATTTTCACTTTTGTTCAAATCATCAGTTTACAGTACAGTTCAAAGGTGAAATCAGTTTTTAATTTATTAAAAACAAGGCAAACATGTTATTTGCTCAGGACAATATCAAAATCAAATAATTCAATAGCAAAGCACAAGGGCAAAAGAAAGGAGGAAGGGAGAAAAAAAGGGAAAGAATCAGTAAGGGGTATCCGTGTGTACCTTCTGTATCGACAGTACAAGTTTAAGTGGGTGCTGCTGAGCACCATCCAATAACTGTTCCATCAGAGAACCAGACTACCCTTACCAGTAGTTGTTCAGGGTTACCAAGTTACCACTCATCAAATTCCCCGGGTTTTTTTCACAGTTTCCTCCTGGATGTTGTAACCATGTTCAAAGTGATTATCTTTTAAAGATGAAAAATCTAGGAAGAAGAAATGAACAGAAATGCAAGATAAAAATAGTAAAATGACCATGGACAGTCCCTTTTCCTAGGGTATCAGTGTCAAGAATCAGGCGGTTTGGACATCTCACACGTATGGCACCTCACTAGCTTGCCAGTAAAGCCTACTCCAGAAAAAGCATCAGGGTACAAGGCAAGAGGAAGACCAAGAAAGACCTGGATCCAGGGTGTGAAGGATACCCTGAGAAAATACAATATCCCACCCAGCAAGGCCATCAAACTTGCTAGAGACAGGAAGCTCTTTCTCCCCTCGACGCCCTAGAGGTACAAGAGGACGGAGAAAGTAAGTAAGTGTCATTAATCCCTTTTAACCGAATTCCCCTGCCCTCCAACTCCAAGAAAATCACCGCCCCCCAGTGTCATGGAGAGGGCTTATTGGGTGTAACAAAAACAAAGCCCTGATGAAAGCGGTCTTGGCCATGGCTGTTAGAAAGCGGTACTTTAGTTCGCAGGCAGCCAGCTCGCTGCACCTTGTAATCTGACCCCGGTCACCGGGTCATGAACTCGTGGCCAGGGGAATTCCCCATGCCCCGTTAACAGCATTGCCCATTTCATTTTTAGGACAATTAAACTCGCAAAATACGCCGATCTGTGACTTTATCGTCATTTTATTTTGCCTGTTTGGAACAAGGGGGAACTTCTGTACTTACTGAGAAAGATGCAAAATTGTATGAAATAACGATAAATATATGTAGCGCTCCAAAAATGGCTATTTTACCATTGCTCTTTGGCGTGAATATTTTTAAATCTAAATTCCAATCAAACAAAACTTAATCAACCCTGCAATTTCACATAAAATACACCAGAAAAGGTCAAATATCAAAACTCACTTTGCTGTTTTTGAGGGAAGTCCATGGTTTTGGAGTAGTGAAGAGTTCATTGCAGTATCACCTTTTTTTTCTTTGTCGGAGGCACATTGAATAATAGTTTTGGATTTGACATGACAGGGTAAGATTGCATGACAACTTTCAGCTGTTGTTCGATATTACGTATCCCAGCTCCTCTTCTCTCTAGTTTTGCCACAGAAGCATGGATAAGTACACCACCCTGTTTCCCATGTAAAGCCAAACCAAACCCATATGCTTGTATCCACTGGATGCAGTGGTTTTCGAGAATGTGGTGTTTGGGAAGTACTTTTTCGCTAAAGTGTCTACTGTAGAATGACATGTAAGTTTTGATGCATGTTGTCAAAGTGTGGTTGTCCGTCTTTTGACACTGGTTGGCCGTGTGAGATGTGAATGTGAACGTCCCGAAACGCGTTGTTTAAATGATTGAATTTTTCTCTGAGAGTGTAAGCGGTGTCAATTATGTTTTGGTTGTGGGTGTTTTCTACTGTTTCTTTTACAATGAATGCCGTGAGGTCTTTATAAACGCGACTCATGTCATGATGTATTTGTGGCAGTGATTGCCAATGACAGAGCGGCCGTGATATGTCTGCGGTGTGATGTTGTTTGAGTCAAGTATGCTGTCTAAATGAGAACAGATAGGGCCAGTCCTAGGGTTAGGGGGTTCGTGCTGTAACTCGGACAACCTGTCTTCTTTCTCCGTCTGTTGTTTTTGAAAGTTTATTTTCTCCTCTTCAGAGTGAGAAAGTACATCGCAACCTTCTAAATGTCTAACCTCCCCCTTTAGTTCCTCCCCACAACTCCATATGTCTTATCTTGTCCACGCAAGCTTTACAGATGGTTTTTTAATGTACTGTCTGTGAGTCCATTGTAAGGCAAACAGAGTGTCCGGCGCAAATTTAGAACACTGCAGGGGTCGCCTTTTCTGTGCTTTCTGCTTGACTGACAGTGTTCTGCCACCACAAGTTCTGAAACGTTCGTGCAGCTTTTGAAAAAGCCAATCCTCTGTATGTTTCTCCATTTCTTAACTGGGCTAAAATATTCCAAAAAAGCGATGAGAAGTGTTGGAAAAATAACGCGATATTTAAGAAGAAAAATGAAAGATCACATGCAAGTGAATCACAGGGGATGGGGTACCCTTTTTAAAAAAATCATATAAAATCACACATTCGCTTTCCACAAATAACATTTGCTCACACGGTTCAAGTATTGCTGTCTCAAGTGAAGCAGAAAAATCTGAGTGAAAAATCTGAGTTTGGCTTTTGAGATAATGAACTCCAAAATGGAATATAATCTAAAATGCAACATTAGGTAAACAAAACACTTGTACTGCAAAATGCGTAACTGCTATAACACCAGTGAGATTTCCGGAGCGAAAGTAGGATCGTCTTGTTAGTCTTAAGATGATCTTTAAAATGAGATGATAAACAGGCTTCTAGGTTTATCACATCGGGAAAAATAACGAGGGAAAGTGATACGAAAATTACCAGAACCGAGTTACGCAGGCACAGCGGCGGGCATCGCCACGGGAGTGGCCGACTGACACTGATTTATTACCTTCACCTCGGAGGTCAGACTGGGGCTCGGCCACCAACTAAAGTACCACTTTCAGTCGCATTTTAACAGCCGTGTGGCGGGCTCGTTGTTGTCGAATTAGGAAAAAACAGGGGGTGGGGGTGGGGGCTACTATACTGGCTTTTGGCCTGACTCTTGAAAAGTAAAAGAAACCAACAGTACGAGTCACGAGCCCTTGATGTTAACTGTACATCACTGCAAAACATACTGTGCATCACAGATGATTGTTTCAAGTTTTCAATTTGATTTATTTTTTGTTGTTGATTTGTTTTTTTTTTAATTCTCACATTGGTCTTCACTGTCACACTCACACACAACACAAAGGCCCAAAAATTTTTCAACACCTTGTCAAACTAATGTCGGCCTTACTCCTCGCTAATGTTTTCTTGGGGGCTCTCGTGGCCTAGAGGTTAAGGTGTAGGCCTCTCATTCAAAGGTCCCGGGTTCGAATCCGGGTAGCGACCGAAAAATTTTCTTCTCTAAAATTGTCTCCTTTCACCTCCTTTCCTGCTCTCTAGCAATGTTCTGTTGTCTGCTTTCATTTCCACTTTCTGCCCCCACCCCCTCTCCTCCTTTGCCCCCTCCTCTGGGCTCCTGACTCTTTCTGCAGCCTTTCTACTGCTACTCCTTGGCTCCTCCTTACTGCTGTCTTTCTGCCACACCCCTGATCTTCTGGTAGGAAAGATCTACACCTAGTCTTCTCGGACAAGGGCGAAAAATCTCGGAGGGCCCGTGTGCAAGTTGCGCACATTAAAGATCCCTTGTGGTTTAAAATCGATAAGAGTAGGCTTCGGCTGCCACTCTGGCAAAATTCAAAATTTCCTACCAACTGAAAATATTAGGTGTGTCCCGCGCGCTCATATGACCTTATGCAGTTGCGAGCGCCGTAAAACACTTTACAAAAACAAACAAATGTTTTCTTGAGGGCAAAGTGGCACTGGGAGACTTGCAAAGGCTCAGCGCACTGAGGGTGTAAAAGTTGGCTGCATGTGACACAGTGACATAGACTGTTGGGATCTGATTTCTATTCTTAACATGCCGGGAAGGTGGGGGTGATTTGGGTAGCTGATTGGCAAATTTAAAAAAATATATATGAATCGGGGTGGGATGTTATGACAATATTTTTGTAAAGATGAAAGTTTAAAAAGGTTTTAAAACCTTAATGATTCCGCCAAATTTATAACTATGAGTAACCTTTGGATTTGCCAGCTTCCTCTCATTATTTTCGTTTTCATTCATTTTCATGGTGTTTTTCTGACCGGAAAATCTGAAAATGTTATTCCTGACTTTTTTCTATTTTCCTGGATTGAGAGGGAACCCTGGTTGTTGCTAACCAAGGCAGTGGTAAATCAAGTCAGAGAAAAATAAATAAAAATATAAACATACTTGAAAAGCTAACACATCTATGAGGTTATGGCTGTTAACATCAATATTTGCAACATACCATGTAAGAATTGCAGCGTGTCTTCAGAATTTACAATTTCAGCCAGATCTTTGTACTCTAAGGACGATTTGCTGTCACTCTGCTGGTACGAAAACTTGGCCAGAGCTTGAATGAACAATTCCTGCATGGACGGAATAAGAATAATTAAATTCTAGAGGAGGAAAGAGTAGCAATGGAGAGGAAAATGCATGACAAAAGTTCTATGTTCATCCTAAATTATTCACTCTCAGAACCTATTGAATGATTCCAAAGGTGACAACACTGAAAACAATATACAGAAAAACAATACCAGAAAAGGCATTGGTTATAAGATTGACAAGTTTTTAGGTAAGTTTATTATGAAGTTTTTCAGTTTCTTGAAAACTTAAAAAAAAACCCAAGAAACTGTTAAACTCAAGCTACACCAAAGTATCAAGAGTATATTTAGGGACACAGCTGTCTTTGTTTACACACTGTAACTAGGTAGAGTAAACACGGCCTCGCGGGCACTCGCGACCTTCCGAGCACGTGGTATCGGTGAAATCGAGGTAAGTCAGATCGCTGCTTCTTTGCTCTTTTGTTATAAAACACCAATTCCTCGTTTCAATGGTGCAAGTTGTTTATATGTGCAATTATTAGGAGCTGGAGAATTGCCGTGGAAAGCGAAGCCCCTCGCGATCGGAACGCGTGGTAGGCCGGTTAAAAAAATGACACGCGTGCATTCAAATGCTTCGCAGAAGGACTGATGATTAAATACAGTCTTCTCATTTGCGGAGAACTATAGAGCTTTGAACGGGCTTTCCCCTGGTATATATTTGGCCTTAATGGCGTATAAATAAAAAGCCTTTAAAAATACCGTCAAAGTTTTCAAATATCATTTTTTACACGAAATATGTAAAATGCCGCCTCAAAAAAGGTATCAATAGAAAGATCAGTTTATTTTCTATTAGAATAAAGTAATGGGAGTGGAATTTATTTTTTATCAATCCTTCCGCGAAACTCGGAAAGCATGTGACCCCCCCATGCGGGGTGCACTTGGTACACTACAGTAGAGAGACGACTCGCTCGCCGCGGGGGGCTGGTGGGGTGCTGGCCGGGTGTTTTTGTCGAAATTCCACAGATCATCGTGTCTCCAGCAATAAAATGCTGATTTTTAACAATCAGTCAGTCTTGGACAAAATTAGGCTCCATGTTATAATGATTGTACTCTGTTAATGTGGAGATGTTTAGTGCACTTGGTACTCTTATATTAAATTATCTGTCAAACATGGGGTTGCAGCCAGTGAGCGACTTAAAAAAATTTGATCAAAGTTTAAACAGATACCATTTCTTAAATATTGACTGAGATGTTAAAGAGTGGCACCAAAACTCTCAGGAGATATAGGCCTTTCATAAGGAACAGATACTTGGCATGCAGCAATTTCGAAAATTTAGTTTCTGGTACCTACTACAAGGATTAAAGAGAAAGAGGGAGGGTGGGGAGGGAGGGAGAGAGAGAGAGTGAGAGAATGAGATAGAGAGAGAGAGTGAGAGGAGAGAGAAAGAGAGGGTTAAGAGAGAGAGAGAGAGACAGAGAGGGGGGAGAGACAGAGAGAGATCTAGTGGTGGTCTGCTAAAGTTCAAAGAGGCCAACAAAGTTTGCAGGGCTGTCCTACACTACCGTTGTCACACTTGACTACACATTACCATCATTATGATGATTGTGATTATAATGACATTACATCACATTCCAATTCCATCCATTCCTTTCATTCGCAGCGACACGGTGCGTTGGCTCGAAACTGAAACTGACGAAAAGCTGGCATTGCTGGGAAGGAGATACAGTGGAACTTGGACTCAATGAGCTCGGATTCAACGAGAACTCGGAATCGACGAGATGAGATAGATGAATTTCCCCGTTTTTTTTTCTTCTTTAAAATCAATAAAAATAACCCTGATTCAACGAGCACTTAAATCAGCAAGCTCGGATTCAACGAGGTCGCTTCCAGGGTGAACAGCCCCTGAGGACGTGGCCTCGCTCATTTTTCTCCCACAACAAACTTTATCTAAACCATAGATCTACATTGCACCTGCACCGTGAACCATTATTCCCTTAGCCGATTGCATGCGACCAACCAGCGGCCTTTTTCCAAACCAACACACGTGCGTTGTTGGCAAGCGTTCGTGTCTACTCTGGCGTGTGTCAGATGGTCGGCCTGCACACGTATGGCTGTGTGTGCGTGTCGGGGAAGGGGTGGGGGCCCACCAGCGGTCCGGGAGTTGAACGACACAGATACAAATGCGTCACAGTCTTTTTTTCCATTCGGCAACTGATCATTATTACTATGAATAAGCTAGTCTTGATGTAGATCTACGTAATGAAATTGAAATGTGCGCTGGACTAAGGAATCAAAAGTTGCCGTATGCTAGGCTCTAGATCTACACAGCAACACAACTTTTTGGTAAACATTTGAGATGACACAGGCGTGTGCATTTGAACGAATCGGTCTTTTTTACACAGCTCATAATACACAAGCATTACTTGTGACTTCTCTTTATACATTACTTGCTCAGTGCCTGTAGTGATCTACACAAAACCTCGTGTTTGCTAGTCTCAAAACCTCGTGTTTGCTAGTCTAGATCTATAAGGAACACTCAGATTCAACAAGATTTTAGGTCAGGCCAGGCGACCTCGTTGAATCCGAGTTCCACTGTAATCATTGACATTGACGATCTAATATAATCTAAGTAGAGCCTGTTCAACTATCTGGTAATGACATTTGGCCATCATTATTCGGACTCGAGTCCGAATAACATTTTTTCATATATTCGGACTCGAGTCCGAATAAAAAATTTCATATATATTCGGACTCGAGTCCGAATAAGAAAAAATGTTATTCGGACACGGGTCCGGAAAAAAGGAAGTGTCTTCGTTCTATAGATCTAATGTTCAGTGCTTCCAATTTTCCGCCATTTTTTAGTTTCTCCCAC